GGGATTTCTGGCACTTTCTGGGCGCTGCGAACCTTCTGAACTCGGGCTGGTAGGCCGGAAACGGCGGCGACTGAGCCGCTCCGCAGCCTAGGCGCTGCAGTCCCTCGTGTTCTCAGTGGAGTCCGCACCGCCCGCGCAGAGTCATGGCCAAGTGGGGCCAGGGCGACCCGCGCTGGATCGTGGAGGAGCGGGAGGACGGGACCAACGTGAACAACTGGCACTGGTGCGACGGGGCGCGGGCGGGGGCTGCGGCTTGCGGGCCTCCCACCCCGGAGCCGCCGGGCTGGGCGGTGGGGACCCTCCGCGAGCGCCCGGCGCAGGGCGTCCGGGGTAGGAGGATGTCCGGGCCGCCGCCGGCTCCCTGGGTCGCGGTGATTCCTCGGCTGGGTGAGGGCCCGAACTGGTGCGGAAGAGCCGCCCTCCCCCCACCCCCTCCCCAGCTGCTCGTCCTTAGCCGTAACGCTTGGGAGAGCCCGGGACGGGACCCCTGGGATCTTACCTGCACCGGTACTGGGGCTTCACTTTCCTATATTTGAAAGTTGAGTTGAGCTCCATGAGTGACTCCTGACTTAACCCTCTTCAACTTTTGACTTTCTGTGACCTTGCCCCTTTTCCACCCTCAACCTTCTTGATGTTTCCGGAGGGAGCTGGAAAAGTGTAGATGTGAGGTGGGCTGGGAGGAACTTGGGAGGGGGTTGGTGAGTATGGCGTTTAGTCTACATACAGCTGGATGTGTGTCTGGTGGGCCCCGCCTTCTAGGAGTTTGAAGGCTTTACCCGCCCTCTTTGTACCTTTGTTGCATTCTGCCACCGCCTTCTTCCCCAGAACTTCAGGAAATGATGCTCTGCTCTGCTCTTTTGAGGCCCTGTACCTTAATACTGAAATACAGACCTGCAGAGAGCAGGGGCGGCAGCCTGGTGGGGATCATTTACTGAAGGGAACTCTGGCCTGACATCATGGACAGACACATCCAGGGACTTTTTCACCCCCTAAAATGAGAACGTTATTTGGGAAGCTTGCAGGAGATTATCTTTATGTGAAAACACTTGATAAGCTGTTTTATGATTAAAATTATTACTATTATTATTATTACTACCTTTTTATATGGCCTAGGCTTTGCACATTTCCAGTGGGTGAGATTGTTAGACGCCCACACCCCTTGCCCAAGTAAGCCAATATGTTTTAATTCAAAGAACAACTTTACATCGTGGATAATGTCTCTTTTTTTTTCTTTTGAAGATTTGTTTGTTTACATGTACAGAACTGGGGTACAGGTCAGAGGTGTGTGGGGGGGGGTGGGCGGTGAGAGGATTCACCAGGGACAGAATGGGGAGCAGAACAGGCAGATTGCCTAAAGTGCACTGCTGAAGGGAGCAGCAGGTGGGTCAAGACAGGTCTGTTGTGCCATGTGGGTCACCTCGCTGGCTGGGGATTGAACTTTGCTGAAGTGGGATTGAATTCATGTTGAAGTGGCGGAGATACGTCATAGTGCTGTGCTTCAACCCATTGTGCCTGGGGATAATAATATCTTAACGAACTGAGCAGGACTAAAAGGTATTTGGTAGAGCACTCATTTGAGAAGCATGGAAGTTTGAGGATAGCAGCTTGAGAGAAATCATCTGATTTGGGTTAGACCTGGCCATTATCTCAAAGCCCCAGACTGGTCATGGTGGTACCAGAAGGGGTCTCCATTCATGGTCTGCCTCCTTTCCCTGATAGGACAGAGCGAGATGCTACCAGCTGGTCCAAGAAGAAGTTCCATGAGCTCCTGGTGGGCCTGGTGGTGGAGAATGAAGCTGGCCGCTGTGAGATCAGTGAGCTCAAGCAGGTGGAAGGCGAGGCTTCCTGTAGCAGCCGCAAAGGAAAGCTGATTTTCTTCTATGAGTGGAACATCAAACTGGGCTGGAAAGGTAACAGCTTGATATAGGTAGAACTGGGGGCAATTTGGGGGTGGAATGGATTGATTCACTTATTCAGTCATCCAACAAATATTTTCAGAAGCCCTGCAACTTTGAATTGGCATGGTGGTGCCATGCTCTTCTCACCCTGGGGAAGTGCTTTCTGCCACCACCTGGCGCTGCTTAGAGCCACTTAGAGCTTTTTGCTGAGCTTTTTTTTTATCAGGCACTTGGTGAGCACTCTGCTGGCTGCTTCCCTTTGCCCTGAGTAAGAGCACCTGTCTGCAGCCTGTGATTCATCTCCCTTTCCTGCTGCTTTTTCTTCCTGTAGCACTGATAGTTTGTATACTTTCTGTGGTTGAACATTTTGTTTTCTTGCTCTTCCCCCTTGTGTCAGGCTTTTAAAATCATCATCTTTATTGAGTTATAATTTGCATACCATACAACATACCCACTTAAGTTGTACAATTCAGTGGTTTTCGGTATCTGCAGAGTTGTGTAGCCATTACTAACATCAATTCTAGAGTACTTTCATTGCTCTCCAAACCTTGTATGCATTAGCAGTTATTCTCCCAGCTTCTGGCAACCACTATTTTCTATCTCTATGGATTTGCCTGTTCTGGCCATTTTATAGGAAAGGAATTACACAGTATGTGTTTTTTTTTTTTTTAACAGATTTACTTATTTATGCATACCAGAATTGGGATGTAGGCCAGAGGTGCTGGGGGATGTGTGTGAGAGGATTCACCAGAGAGAGTGGGGAGCAGAACAGGTGAATTTACTGCAACACATTCCTGAGGGGAGCAGCAGGCAAGAGCAGCTGCCGGACCCTATGGGTCAGCTGCTTGGCCAGGGATTGAACTCAGGTTGTAGTGGTGATAGTGCTGAGAATTAATTCCTAGGCCACCAAGAGAGGTATGTGATCCTCTGACTGGCTCCTTTCATTGAACCTAGTGTTTTCAAAATCACCCACCTTGTAGCATGTTTCGTTTTTTTTTTTTTTTAATGTTGTCTGGTCTTTCTGCACAGATACAGCACACTCTGTTTATTCATCTGTCAGTGGACATTTGGGTTGTTTTTGCTCTCTGGGTTTTATCATCAAGGATTGATTGGTTTTGTTTTTAGAATGTTTTGTATGTGTGTTGAATGAATTCATTTTACTGTGGTGCCAAGGTCTTGGCTGGGTAGACAGTATATGCTAAGTAAGTACTTCTGAAATGACCACAGAGGTGAAGATAAAAGGGAAAAGGAAGAGGAGAGGACTGCTTCTAGGGGTTCATGCTCTGTTAACATTTGGGCCACAGCCCAGGAGTCAGCTCCTTTCTTGAATTAGGATTGGAGAGCTGCACAGTAAGCTGACCTTGGGGCCTGGTGGCCACCTTAACAACCCTGAGCCAGACAGAGCCCAGGGACCTGTTCAGGCATCAAAAGCAATTCACTCTTGCCTTGAAACACACAAGGCTAGGCATTGCTCTCAGTTACTTAACTTCAAAGACTGCTGCTGGCTGGCTCCTTACCCTTCTTCCCTCAGGCTGGGGTCTGAGGGCTCCTAGGAGGTACATGGCCTTGAACTCTTCATATTCCTTATCTCAAACAACCACCAGCCCTTTGCAAGAGAGAGCCAGCCACTGTCAAGCCAGAGCACAGGTTGCACAGGGCTAAGCCTCAGACTGTCTCCTCTAGAAGCAAATCCCCTCAGTGGAAGGAAGCAAAACTCAGATCTTGTTTTTTTTTTTTTTAGTTAAAATTTCATTTTTTCCCCAGTTTAATTGATATATAATTGACTTACAATGTTGTATAAGTTTGAGGTACATACAGGGTGTGATGATTTGGTGTGTGTATATATATATATATATATATAGGGAAATGATTACCACTGTAAATGATAATCACTTCATTCTATTACAATTTTGTTGTATATGTTGGAGAACTTTTAATATCTACTTTCTTAGCAACTATGAAATATATAATACAGTATTGTTAACTGCAGTCCTTGTGCTTTACATTAGACTCCCAGGATTTACTCTTTTTATACTTGGAAGTTTACATCCTTTGACCTTTACACACAAACATAGCACAGTCTACTGATTCTGTGAGCTTAGTTATTCTTAGATTCCACATATAAATGAGATCATAACAGTATATCTTTCTGATTAATTTCACTTAACACTGTGTCCTCAAGGTAAACCCATGTTGTAAGTAGCAAGATTTTTCTTCATTTTTATGATGGAATAATATTCCATAGTTTGTAAATGTTTGTATATAACTGTCTCATTTGTAAATACGTTTCATTGAACATGAGCGTGTACAGTGATTTATTTCCTTTAGATATATATGTACCCATAAGTGGGATTGCAAGATCATATGATGGTGACATTTGTATTTATTTCTTTTTAAATAACACATATGGGCCCCAACAACAATGGGGGATTCTGTTAATAGGAAAGTGAGAATAGATTTTCACTAGCCATGTCTGATATTCTCTTTTAGCACACAATTTCTACCTTTCTTAGCACTTTTTATATTCTCAAATTATTACTTTTTTTTAACTCCACCAAACCACCTATATCCCTGTCCCATCTGCCTCCCTCCCCCATGTCTTCTGTCCTTCCCCCTCTCTCTCTGGTAACCATCATTATTTTTTGCAGATAAAACTTTTATCTCTACTTTTATTTGAGTATAATTTAAAAAAATTATGCATGTAAGAACTGGGGTGTAGGCCTGAGATGCAGGGGTGAGGGTAAATGGCTTCACCAGAGACAGAGTGGTGTGCAGAGGAGGCAAATGTACTGAAATACACTGAGGTGATACAGAAGAGGTCTGCTTTGTTATGTGGGTCACCTCCCTGGCCAGGAGTCAGACTCGTGCTGCAGTGGCTGATAGTGGCTGCAATAGCTTGATAGTACTGTCTTACTGTCTTTAACCCATGCACTACCAGGGAGGCCCCTGCGTGTAATTGCTTTTTAAATATTTCTGCAGATGAGGGAAACCCTCTTAGAAACCTTTTTTTTTTTTTTTAAAGATGTATTCATGCATACAAGAGCTGGGGTACAGGCCAGAGGTGTGGGGGGTGAGCGGACTCACTATAGACAGAGTGGGGATCAGGACTGGCAGATTGACTGAAGTACACTGCTAAAGGGAGCAGTGGGTGGGTCAGGCGAGGTCTGCTGTGCCATGAGGTCACCTCCCTGATCGAACTCCTCCTGTAGTGGCTGCAGGTAGCTTCATGGTGCTTGCTTTAACTGGTTGTGCCACCAGGAAAGGCCCTGTCTTTCACTTTTGAATCAGCTTCACTCAACATAATGTAATCATCCCAGGATCTATTCATTTTGTGCCAAATTATGGCACTGTTTTACCTTTCTTCACAGCTGTATAATATCCCATTGATTATAACAGTTTTGCTATCCATTCATTGAAAAGTATTTGGGTTGGTTCCATGATTTGGCAATTGTAAACAGTGCTGTTATGTATGGGAGTATAGGTAGATCTCTTTGTATGTGATTTCTCGTGTTACTTGGGTAAATACCTAATAGCAGGATTGATGTTGGTCAAATGGAATTTCCACTTTCATTTTATGCAACTTCTCCATACTACTTTTGACAGAGCTTGACCAGCTTGCATTCTCACCAGCAGTTGATGAGAGTTCCTTTTTCACCACAACCTTGCCAGCATTTGTTAATTTTGTTCTTTTTTACATGGGCCATTCCCACAGGGGTGAAGTGGTATCTCACTGTGGTTTTAATTTGCATTTCTCTTATAATAAGTGATGTTGAACGTATGAAAAAAAGTCTTTGGCTACAGGCCAAATGTCTTCTTTAGAGAAATATCTATTTAGATCCTTCGCCCATTTTTTTTTAAAGATTTATTTATTCATACAGAACTGGGGTATAGGCCAGAGATGGGGAGGGTGAGAGGATTCACCAGAGACAGAGCGGGGAGCAGAATGGGCAGATTGATGAAGTACACTGCTGAGGGGAGCAGTGGGCGGGTCAGAAGAGGTCTGCTGCGCCATGTGGGTCACCTCCCAGGCAGGTGGGGATTGAACTCATGTGGAAGTGGCTTAAGCTGGCTTAAGCTTCTTAGTGCTGTGCTTTAAC